TTTGTACACATATTATATGCTTAATCCCTGCAATTGTGTATTATATATGCATAATATTTGTACCCATTTTCCTGATGCATGCTTAAATCTAAGGACAGCCTTTTCCATCACTCATTTTGTTTTTCCCTTCTCCAATTAGCAAAAGAAATTGATTACTTGATTTAGAAAAGGTGATCCCTACATCAGCCTCTGAATGATCTCTTGAAAGCATTAGGAAAATGGGTACAAATATTATGCGTATATAATACACAATTGCAGAGATTAAGCATATAATATATGTACAATTTGCATACATAAAAAAATACACGATTTGTACGTATATTATATGCTTAATCCCTGCAATTGTGTATTATATACGCATAATATTTGTACCCATTTTCCTGATGTGTAGCTCTTATGCTGAATATATTAGCAAGAATGAAGATACAAAGATGAAATATGGTCACAATCCAGCCTTTTACTATTTTATCTGGACCATATCTGGTGCTGTGTTTGGTAAAGATTTCACAGTAGACCCTCTTGCTCCTATGTTTCTGCTTTTTTCACTAAATCATCATTCAGAAACAATGACACACGTTGTGCATATTTGTATGCATTGAAGGTAGCTCTGCAGGAACTAGCAGGCTACTATCAAGATCTAGAACTTCCATCAAATTTTGAAGAGAATGGAGTCCTTAGACCATTCAGTTTAGATCATTCACCTGTAATAATGAGAAATATCATTTCAATATATTGGACATATAGAAGGCAAAGAGCTTTTTTTAATGATCAAAGAGAATAATGATGGAAGTACTTCATGTGATGGACAAAATCGACATTTATTGGTTAAATTTAGTGATGTTAGCTGGTTAATACGTAATCTGTATACATAATTTCTAAATTTGGTAATGGATTTCTGTGTTACATTCTGGTTATCAAAATAAAATTACCAATTTAGATAGTAAACGGCTTAGTGGCTAAGGATTTTTAGGTGGCTAACATCACTAGTTAAATTTACCCAAAGATATGGTGCAGAAGTTCATGAATTTTGTGCAAGTCAAGGAATAGCACTAACTTTAATTGCAGTGAACAATTTGCCTGGGGGTTGGAAAATGGTAATTACAAAGCCTTTGGATAATAAATTTACAACTCTTTCTCATGCTTTGAATCACATTGATGATAAACAATGTATAGAATTATTGATTAAATTAAAAGAAATAGTTTAGATCTTACATTCTGAAGGCTATGTACATGGATACTTATATACATCAAATGTTATGATCTCCAACATCAGTGATATAAAAATCATTGGTTTTGACTGGGCAGGAAGGGCAACACAAAGTACCCATATTTTCGGGATCCAAAAATTTTATGGCATCTAGATGTGAAAGGTGAAATATTTTGAATGAGCATGATAATTACCTCTTAGAGAAAAGTTTTTTCAACTGTGATGTTAATGAATGAAGGGAAGGGTATTATTGAAAACCATTATTTTGGTTGTTCGTTTTTAATGAAAATCTTGTAGCATGTAAATTTAATAATCAATTTCTTTGATACTATTGACTTTTTATATTTAATCCAATTTGAAAGCCATGGTGGTCATTTATGTTATTTACCATTTCTTGTTACTTTCTATTTACATTCTTTACACTAGTTTGATTAACAAATTTCAAAATTGTAAAATTTTACAAAATAATTATTCATGAACTTCAATAAAAAAAATTTTAAGTCATTTTTTTAATAATTTGGTGAATGATGTGGATGCGGTGTAATACTGTAGTAATAGTAGCAGTAGCATATACATTCTGGGAAAGGGAAATATGTATTATTGAACTATCTTTTCCTTCAAGCCAAGGTTATTTTCAAGAGACAAGTTAATTTTAAACTTGGAAGAAATTGCCAGTGAAGGGTTTTAAGATAGTTGTTATACCTAAAAAATGGTGACTTTGTGACTTTCAGTGTGCTACAGTTGCGGGAATAATTTTAAGTTTAAAGAGCCAATGGTGGATTAGAGTTAGTGCTATATTAATTAATATACTAATACTCTGAAGAAAGTTCTCAGGTATAAATGCCAATATCAATATTTTTTTGCTCTAGAACAATAATTAAAAACTGAAAAAAAAGTTTAAATAAAAAAGATGGAAAGATAGATAGATAATGAATAGATTTATAGTGGATATTAAATTAATCAATCATCCATTGATAATTCATCAACCTTATTGATTCTTCCGATATATTTTCTTTTACTATTACTATTATTACTATTATTAATGAATTAAATAGGAATAAAAAATAATGTTAATAATAATTAATGGATAGTAATTTAATAATGCAATTTTTATTCACTTTCGTTAAAATCAACATTTAGAGAAGAGAGTTGACATCAAGATTTAATGACCTGTCATTACTTTGTATAGCCTTTAATTTGTGATCCACCAGTTAAGGAAAGGATTTAATTAATGCTGATCCAGGCAAATTTTTTAAATTTCATATAGTTGGCTCGGTCTAAAGACCTCCTATTGCTGCGCCACGCGCTCAAATTTCAAAAATAGCGATTTCGTGATTCGTTCAAAAATGCAATAAAAAATTTTTAAAAGTTTTCCAAAAATGGTCTTCACGTGATTTGTGTGTAATAAAAAAAATAAAAATTTTTTATTTACATATATATATTATTTTACATATACATTATTACTACTCTTCCATTGCAACATTTTCAAGAATGCACCTATGAGATTTATATTTCTTTACAGCATATAAGGCATGGGAACCAGTCAATCCTTTATGGTAGACATCAACAAATCTCCAAGAATACCTTGCATATTTACGTATTTGTTCTAATGATATAGAGTTGAGTGCCTCTGAAACTGTTTTTTCCAATCCTTTAAAGGTGTAATCACAATTATCCTGTGTGTATTTTTTTACAGCTCCCCAAAAATACTCAATGAAATTAAGTTCACAATGAAACTTGGGAAAAAAGATAACCTTATGTCCATGCTCTTCAATAATTTCTTGGATTAAAGGACATTGAGAGGCGAAATCTTGTTGCAAAGAAAGAATCCGAACAGCACAACAATCTTCTCTTGTTGGAGTATGCTTTTTACAATCCTCACATAGATGAATAAGCTTGTCAGATGATGGCCAAAGATTATGTTCTTTCAAAATCATCTTAATTCCTTTTTGCTTTCCATCTTCTAGATGCATTTTTTGAGGTTCTCCATCAGGTGTGACACCATCTCTAAAGGTGTATTTATCACTACCACCAGGATTGAGGTTCATTCAGGTAGCAATTAAAGCATCATTAGCAAAACATGAATGACTGGTTGCATTGTCAAATGCAAAAACACCAACTGCATCTG